TTGGCCACAACTCGAAACAGTGAGACCGCATGAACCATAAGAAGAAAAAAAGTATGCGGGGGTGGGTGGTGATGCTATGCGGGGACTAACCAATCAGTTTGAACCGACCATTCCTTGGGCCATTTCGATTTAGCGGGACATCAGTGCAAACCGATTCACCGGATCTACGATACAAGTGGATAGCTCGTTAATGCAGGAAAATCTCATAAAAAGAGTATGGAACAACTAAGGACAATGGAGACTGGCCCGGAAACGGTTAAGATGGTCAAATCAGTGAGATTTTGGTGACCAATGCGTGCAGCATTGATAAGACAGAGAGAGAGAGAGAGAGAGACACGAACCAGCAAACTGACGGAGTTAAACTATTGGCAAAGGGCAAAAGAAGAACACGCATGTTATCGATACTGATGTGATATCAGATCGCACGCCCAAATGGAGATTTCATTGAAAGCCGAATAAGCAGTACAATTTCTAACAGATCAAAAGAGCGAGAAGAAAGAAATATGGCACTATTTGGTACTGCTTGTTGTTTTCTTTTTCCGAAATGTGTGTAGTATTGATTTTACTCCTTTAAGCGTGTACTCTTGATTGCATGTGCATTGTAAGGTTCCGTCACACACACAAATGATACGTCGGAAAAACGCTGGAATATTGGTGTTTGGGTGATAGAACAAAAATATAGCGAGTAAACGCAGGCTGAAAGACTGCCACAGAAATCGGTTGTTGTTCGTTACCTTAGTAAGTTAAAACAAGAACCAGATAAGGTAGGCTTTCAAATTTGCTGCTAGTCCTTTTGGTCACCTGGTTCACTACCACGATTAACCTGCTGTCTCAAGTGGTTCAGTACCTTGAGTGTCCGGAATGGGCTGCCGGTCTTCTCTCTCTCTCTCTCTCTCTCTCACGCCACTCAAATGAACCATACAAATCACATGAACCACAGATTGCTCACTCTACATAGGAACACGGACCACTATCTTCTTATTCTCGATTTGAATCAAAAGTGGAATCTTGTTCGCAAGTTTTTCTGATCTTCTTCTTCATTGGCCTTATTTTTGACCGAAACACGAATTTCTCCCTCAGTGAATAAAAAAAGACTTTGCGTCCGCATCCATCCTCATCATTCTGTCGCTTCCTCCCGACCTTCACAACCCGATTTTTCCAAACACGAATTCCAGTTTATGTGGCCAGTGCTGCTTTACGGTGCAGAGGCCATTATGGGAACAAGATAAAGACAGCTTGTCGGTGTTCGAACACCGCTGTCTACTCAGCATTGCACGAGTTTGGTGGGGCAGCCGGACGAGCAATGTTGAGGTTAGACGTAGAGTTTTAGGCATTCGCGGTCGTCCATTAGAGCAAGTGATCGACCTCCGTAGACTAAGTTGGTTGGGACTTGTGCTACGCATGTTATCAGATAGGTTGCAACGGCAAGCGATGTTTACCGAGGCCGGTAGCGGTCGGGAAAAGATCAAGGGCGGTCAAACTAAGACCTGGTATGAGGGTATGAAAANGACCAGCAGACTGGCTCACATAGGTCCCGTTGGGCTCCCTGGCTGGGACCCCTAGATCATGATCCCCGATGATTAGAGACACTGAGCGATATGGCTGAGTGTCGCAAACAGTGGCGCTCACTCATCTACTCATGATTCTTGTAACTTCAGTCTATATAAATGCACTATATTCCGCTTGAATCTACTGCAAACATTATAATCTTCATTTTTCTGTTTTATTCAAATGGGCAACCAAAAGACTGCAATCAAAACCGGCGCACGAAAATGCATGGTTGATGGTTGTAAGAACTGAAACTGAACTTCTTTGAACCGTCATTTTTGTATTATTTACAGCTCCCCGTGCAGCAATGATACTTCCATCATCCACGATTGAGACAATATTGGCGGCAGATCCTAGCAATCATATGATTGTCGGATATTTTAGCATTCGTAACACGGAATGCCTGATGCACTCCTCAGACACTTTGTTCATGAGACACGATGCCGAGGCTTTTGCTGTGGTCAACAACCTGAGTCAACTAGTGGACCAGTCCTTCCATTTCCTGTATCGGCTCATTGGAGCATTGCATCATCTCCGTGCTTAGTCATTTCTCTCATCCTGTTTCACTATTTAACTCCAGACGCACCTTTGGGCGTTACGATTCAGCCAACTGGGACGGTTTTTACGATTTTCTGGCCTGAAATGATTGTTCTTTAAAATCTATTGTTTCCACTCCTGTTTTCAACTTCACAGAGACTGTTCCTCAAGGTACACATCTTTCCACTCCACACTTTTCCAAACCCGGTAAACCACGATCCTCCCGTGGTTGGCGCTACTCACCTAACCCAATATCCGCACCGGCTTCGTGCAAACCAGAAACATATTGATCGTTTACCGTACCAGAGCCTAGGAAAGCTTTATTTGCCTGAAAACTGACTACTTGGTTTCGTTTGCCTTTGGTAACGGAACATTCTGGTCCCCCATTAGAGCGATTTCACATAATTTCTACTCTTCCAACTTTCCTCCCATTTGCAATTCCTCTGGTTCTCTTGTTTGTGAACCCAATGAAGAGAACAGTATTCGCTTCCAGGTTTACCTCCAGTTCCATCTTATTTGTCGATTTTACTCTCCAATTCTCCTCCCATACATTCAGCCTCTCCTTTCACGACAGGATTCATCCTGTCATGACAGCTAGAAAGATCGGCTAAACCCTTCATAGTTTGTATGTTTGCAAAACCACCTGGTCCGGATGTTCTAAAGCATGCACCCCAGATTTAGCTCCTGTTCTACGTTGCCTTCTTCGTTTTTCACTTGATTTCAAATCCTTCCCTAGTTCCCGGGAAATCCCATCATTTTTCCGATCACAAAGCGTGTTGAGCCTTCTGACTCCAAAACCTATCATCCCATCACTCGTGCGTCTGTAATTTGGAAAATTTTTGAAACCAGAATCTCCGACCAACTACGCGCGTTTTTCGAACGCGAAGGCTTCCTGAATGACCGTCAATATATAACTTTCGTTCACGTCAATCCATGGATGATTTACTGGTTTTCACATCGCATTCCTGGTTAACTGCACTCGATAATCACGGAGCAACCCACGTGGTTTCGAGCGACATTTCAAACGCCTTCAACCGCGTTTCGCGTAAAGGTCTGCTGTCGAAAGTATCCAGGTTTGGATTCCAACCGTCTCTCGTATGGTGGATCCAACGTTCCTTCAGCAAGTGAACCATCTCCGTCCGAGACCACCGGCCCCTATCTCAGCCATTTCCTGTGAATGCCGATGTTCTCCAGGGTTCCATACTTTCACCCACCCACTTTCTTCTATTACTTATTAACGATCTTTTAGCCAAAACCTCTCATACCACTCACTGATTTCCCGATGGTGCCACTCTTCATTGTCCCCTTTCTTACCCCACAACCGGTTAGGCCACTACCAATATCGATCACGATTGCAATGTCATCAGTGCTTCTCTTGCCTCGGATCTCAGACTCATCTCTGCATGGAGTTCTACTGAGTATTTACGTTTTAATACTTCAAAAACTTCTCTCCTATTCGTTTCTTTTAAGCATGTTCCCTATTTTCCTCAACTGATTTTTGACTCGCTGCTCCTTTGATCCACAAATTCTCTTTTCTTCGTGAAGTTTATCCATAAATTCTACTGCCTATTGGTCAGCGTTTACTTCAAGAATCACCTAAAGTGCTGCGCGCAAAGTGAGCCTCTAATTCCGCGCCAGCCGCTTCTTCACACTTGAGCACCTACGCAAATACGAAGCTCAAATCCGCCTGATGCTCCAATACTGCAATCACGAACAGAGTGGAGATTCGTTTTCCACTCGTTTTCGTCTCGACCGTGTTCAACGCAAGAGCATATGGCTGATTTACAAGTCGTCTTTAACTTCCAATTTGCAGTCGCTTTACTATCTCCGGGCCGTAGATTTTTTTATCTCTTTTCCATCGTTACTATTTCGGTTTTTGCTCTTCCGACATAGCCTCAGCGGTCCCCCCCCCATTGATCTTTTCTCGTCCATCTGGTTCTTAAGTGGGCAGTCACCCTGAGCAGAGTTGTGTCCCTAGAGGCCGGATTTCTATCTTCCAGTTATTTTTTCCTTAGGACCGAGATTGCGGAACATTCTCCCCACCTCCGCATTTTCAAACACTTAAAATCTTACACTTTTCAAAAGCATGATAAAATTGATTGTCATCTGAATGTTCTGCCGCATAGCTCGTCTTTTGCAGTATGTTATTTACTAGGGGATATATCCCTTTTGTTGCAAATCACTTTCTGTGTAACACAGAGAGAGAGAGAGGGAGGGAGAGAGAATATGGACAAACATACGTGCATACCAAAATCTTTCATGTTTTGTCTGCCTAGTCAGCTCTGTTTTAATCCATATCGAACAGCACCATTTGATAACCCAGTACAATGAAATTCTTTTGTGCTTCCTTCCTAAATACGTTAGATAGCTGACATGTCTACGCGCTCTCCCGGACAAATGTCACTTCATCTTTCTGTGATTATATTTGTATTACCTGAACCAATTCACCCATCCGTTTAGATGCTCCTTGGTTTGTTTCTCTCCCTCTCTCTTCACCCGCACTCAAACGTGTGTGATCCGCGGAACTCAACTGATCCTGTGGCCGACTGGTCACAACTCTTGTGCGACTGACCGACAGCAGTGGCGCTCTTGTTATCATTTCTTAACAGGGCAGAATGCTTGAAAAAGGTATACATGAACACTTAGATTGTGTTCTCTGTGTGTTGAACATAGAGGTTCTTTTTCTTTGCCTCCCTCCAAGTGGACCAAGTCCCTCTCCATCTTTTGCTTTATCATTTGATTTGTATACATTGTGAGCTTGGCAGCGATCAGTGAAGCTCGCTTCACTGTATCTCGCTATACGATGATGACTCTTGTGCCTATCCGATGGCCACAGAGTTGCTCGAGTTCTATTTAGGGATTGCGGGATTCGTTAGGTTCGTCCATCCGATGAGATTTTTCACACATTTCACATTTTACTGTAACAGATAGTTGGTTGCATCCTCTGCATGAAAGATTGTATCATTGTGAAAAACAGGAGAACAATGACGTGAAACGTGAGATAAGATCTACCAAGCGGAGACAAATAGCTGTCGAAAATGGAGGTACAGTTGATGCAGGAAAAAAACAGCTTTGGAGGCGTTGGTAACCGTGGAGCGAAACGCGGTTTTTTTCACAGATTTGAACAGGATCATGCTAACAACCTTCGGGGACCAGAAAATTTCTCTCTCTCTCTCTCTCTCTCTCTATATATATATATATATATATATATATACATATATATATATATGTATTCAAGATGCGTCTGGATAACCATACCAAACACGTACCGATAACTACGACTCTATCCAAAAAATTAGTCAATCTAATCGTAACTTCATTCCGTCGTAAAGCTAACGAGAGGTTCACAAGCAAACAAAAGAGAACAGACAGTACTTGTGCTCCACAAAGATGAGTGATTGTACTTGAATAGAATATCGATCCCAGACTGAGTCGACACATGTGATTGATGAACCGAACAACCGAGCTTACCCGGATAGATAGTGCGCAATGCCGAATCCGACAGAGACACATTGATACGCGTCAACTCGGACATGGGTAGTCCCGTGGATGGATCCAGCTCAGCACCGGTTTTCGTGCCTGAAACCGAAGCGGAACCACCACCGACACCCGATCCGGCCGCATTTCCATCACTACCGTGCTCATAAATGGCTGGACAATGACGACGTTCATCTTCCGGCCAATGAGATACCGAAGTTTGTGGGCCTACACGTAAAAGCAGACAAACATGCATGAAAGTTGATCAACGGGCAATATTTCCGACTATCAAACATCGTCAACAGCAGTTATTGCAAGTTAAAACAATATGATTGCATACGCATTCAAATGCCAGCTGTTAATAATAACGGTAGTTACCTGTTCACGTATACGCACGTCGAGGCAAAGACTAGAACAGAACGTCAGTAATGGACGTGGCTCCAAAAGCCTCAGTATGGTGGTCGGGGGTGGGTTGCGGCTGGTCACCCTGCCCTTACACCTCGCCAAATGCTCCCATACGACCAAGCGTCTCGAATAGCCTCTGCTGAGGAAACCCTACTCACTGCCTTCTCGTGGTGGAGGTGTTCTCCCACCAAAATAAGAGCACGAAAAGCCGACATTCGAGGCTATTACCGGGTTGGTGGACCACTGGTAACCCACCTAAGGGAAATGGCCATAAACCCTGATTCCAAACCAACCAAGAAGAAGCGTACGAACCACACTCACACCTTTTCGGTTGTGACAGCGGGCACCAGCCCGATTGGGTACCTTCGACGTTTGACCCCGTCCAAAGGGTGTATGATCCGATGAACTGGACACCGGCTCCCAATGAATTGCTCTTTTCACACCGCCCTGCTGCCTTGCGGGTCAGGCTTTGGCCAGCCGAAGGCTCCGGTTGTGAATTCCTCAAGAAAATTCATCTGCTCTGGCCTGGGTAACCTGGCAGTAATCAGCCCACAAGACAATCATGGAACGTTTTTCCTTTTTTTATAAAGATTGTTGAATCATGATTTACTTGGCATACAGCCCGTCCTCAGACAAGTGCGAAATATGTTATAATATGTGAGTTTAACGTACAAAACTGAAAGCGGAACACTTGCTGATCAATCTAGCATTCTTATTCTACTTCACTGTTCTAAATAGCCCTACTGGAGAGGCTGTCACAACGTCTGTCCCAACCAATAGCACTGCAGCTTTTAGCGTCTTTTTATTACGCAGAGTAAACCCGTTTCACGAAGAGTAAGCCGCGTTTCGTGCGCGTCGTGGTTGCAAAGATCAAATCTTCCTCCTTTGTCAACTAATGGAACACCGCTACACATACAGATGACACTATCGTCGTGTTTTTGGACATCAGAGCGGCCTTCGAATACATCGATCTCCCCGCGCTGGGGCACAGTTTGCTGAGATACGGAGTATCCGAGAAGTATGTTCTGCTTCTAAAAGTTCTCTACCGTCAGACCTCGGGGAAGGTTAAGGCCTACGGTGAACTTTCAATCACATTTCCTGTCACCAGTGAGGTATGACAGGGTTGCCCCATCTCTGCGTTTCTCTTCAAGTTAGTCATAGATGATCTAAAATGCTCGTTACACAACGTAACGAATACTGGCTTTGAGGTTCTTCCTGGAGACAGAGTCGCAAACTTAGTGTATGCCGATTATACTGCCGTACTTGGTGATAAGGTACCAACGATTCAACAGTAGCTGAATCGTTTGGTAGTTGAGTTTACTTGCTATGGTATGTTCTTTGCACCTTCCAAGTGCAAAGTATTGTTGCAAGAGTGGCAGGAACCCGTTGCTACACTTTCGTTGGGAAACCACACTCTGGAAGTAGTCGAAAGCTTTGTCTACTACGTGATTTGCATAACAGCTGGTGGGGGAGATCTCACAACGCGTGATCAGAGCTAGGTTAGCGTTTGCTAATCTGCGGCATCTCTGGCGCCGGTGCGACACGTCCCTTTCACTAAAGGGGAATGTACTGAGCAACGGTACGGGCAGTGTTGCCCTAAGGCTGCGAAACCTGGCCTCTACGAGCAGATCATTTCCAACGACTATCGGTCTTCGACAACCGTTGTCTGCGCAACATCGCCCGCGCATGGTGGGAGCATCGCATGAGGCCATACGACATGTTACGATCATACAGTCGTCCTTTGAGCAAAACCATTACACTGCATCGTCTTGAGTGGCTGGAGCACGTCCTGCGAGTGCCTGAA